TCTTGGTGCTGAGGAGGTGCACAATCGTGGTGGTATCTTTACAAGATCGTCGAGGCGTAGTTCTGGAACTCGGTTGATGACTGGAACTTCGTACCACTGGCCCCCCCGGATCCTGGAGCAGGTAGCCCAGATCGGGGTCCCAAAGTTGCCGGAAACCATCAACCTCAATTAATTGCCCCACTGATAGCAGCGAAGGACAATCAGGCAGGGCTAGAGCTGAGCTTCGTAAGCCTACCTCTGGTAGTTGGATGTCGTAGTGCTCGTTGACAGTGCGATCACCATTGGCCGTTTCCAGAATATGTTCTTCGCGGATAGAAATGCGATCAGATTCGGTCTGCGCGGGCTCGTTCTTGTCCTGGATGTGATGCGCAGATCCACTGTCGAGAACCAAGGAACGAGTCAGGGCGGCTGTCGATCGTGGAGGGTCGACAGTAGGTGTCGCCACCGACTCCTGGATAGTCGCAGGTGACTCCGAAGTGAAATCGAGAGAACCTGGAATCGCAGTTGGTGTTGCGACCGACACTAGATCGGGTCGATCGTCCTGTCGGTCCTTATACCATAATTGAGCTTCCCGTTGGCAACATTGAAGAGCTTGAGCACTCTGTTTCCACCACCACTGCGGGAGCGGATCTGGTATGTTGACAATGTCGACATCGTTCGACTTGTCTATCCACTTGTCGAGTGGCCTTGACGGAGACGGTGTACGGGAAGTATTCCACGTTGTCTGTGTCGAAGCGTATCCGACGTCGTGGTGTGGTGAATGCTATCTTGGCCTTGTGTACGGCCATAAGGGTCTTGTCACGTATGACGTAACTGCGGTCGTAGAGGCGTGGGCGGCGACCAATAGCAGGAGAACGTGCTCGATACCGTGGAGAGCCACGAGATGAACTGCGGCTCATGAAACGGCGGTCACGTCCTCTGTCACTGCCTGATGATCTGTCGCGGTCACGTGGGCCGCCACGTCCTCCGCCACGTCCGTCTCTGCCTCGGGAAGATGATCGTGCTGATCTATCGTATCGGCCTCTCGGCTGATTCGAGAGTCTGTAAATTTCCTGGAGGGCGATCGAGAGCGGTAGTGTTGGCGTTTGTGGTCACGTCGGTTATACGAGCCCCCCGCATTCCGAACCCCCCCCGCGTTGTGGAGAGCGTCTGCTCCCTGATCCGAGGGATGGCGGTCGGCCGCGGCTGTCCTGACTGGAATTCCGTGGACGGCTGGGGCTCCTATCAGGTGTCTTCGCACCAGCTGCGAGGTGGGCATATTTGCACTTGTCGCCCTTGTGACACTTATTCTGGACGAAGTAACTACAATGCGCCATGTGCGGGAAGTTGCACTTGTCGCCACGCGCGCAGGAACTGCGCCTGGCAAATTCGAAGCAGAAGGGCTTCGTTCCTGGCTTGTTTCTGGAACTCGCAGGGGCCGAAACGCTTCGGCGGGCGCGGCCGCCGGCGTTCGAAGGGCGGGGGGATCTACCGTCTCTGCCCCCCCTGGTGCACGTACGCAAAGCCTTGCAACGATCCCCATTCCGACAGCTGCCTTTTTCCATGCGGCGCGGATGTTCACCCGAGAACAGTTCTCATATTCGCACCGTAGCTTGTTCTGATTCTTCTCGGGTTGTTTCATATCCAGAACATCGAGAACTCGTTGGCGAAGCCAGTCGTAGGTACGACGAGGGTCGCTTGGCTTCATTCTTTGATATTCATACATATCCGGTTTCATCCAAACGTGCCTGCGAATCTGAGCCCGGAACGAGGATTCGAGGATCTTGGGGTCGGGTGCCTCTCGGAATTCCAACAATAAAGCGTCCCATTATGTAATGAATCGCTGTAAATCTTCGTCTCTTATCCTCAACTCCTTGAGGCGCTCAAAATCGCGAAGGTCATCGTCAACCTCGGTCACCTTGTATGATTGTAGGATGTGCCAGTATATCTGGCGACCTTTCAGCATTCGTCCAGCTTTGTTCCTTGGCTTCGATGAGCCTGATCTGAAAGCGTAAGTCAGAGGACAAGATGTCACTGAGAGCAGTTGCAAGCTTGCAATCGATGCTCTCAAAATCACCGCTGTCTTGCAGGTCTTCAAAGGTGCACTCGGGCTGTTCGGCGACGCAGAGGAAGGCGTACGCTGTGGAGGGGCGCCCTGAAGCGGCACCGCAGTTCTTCCGCACCTTTTGCTACCACTCAAGCAGCTGGGTGGCTTTTGGGCAAGACGGGGACTCGCGCGGTGTCGGACTCCATGATAGGAGTAGTATTATTAACCGAAACCGCAGACAGTGGTTGTGAGGGTATCGGTACACCGTCAGTCGTTGGTTCTGTGCGCACTGGAGGCACGCGGCGTGACTGTGCAGAAGCTGCCGCTGAGGCTGCTCCTGGTGGCGTACGTCTTGGTTGTCCCGCAGAAGCGCGCGGTGCTTCAGCGGACGTTGCCGTCGGCCTGTCAAGGCCTGGCGATGGCTAGGGGTGATGCGTAATGTCGCTGGTGTGGTCGATCAGTAGATTCGTCCAATTCGTCATGTCCTCGTGTATTTGGTCCACTTGTTGACGTACTGATCGTAAGTCGTGCTTGGACGAAGTGATCTCCTCGCCAGTGTCCCGAGGGCGTTGGGGATGCCGATCATGTCTCTGCTCGTAAGCTCGGAGACGGGCGTCGCGCGCCTCCAGCTCAATTTCCAGACGTGTGAGACACTCCTTAACAAGTACCTTTTTCAGCATCTCTGTCCCGAAGGGCCTGGGGGAGCTCAGACTGCGCGTGTCCCGCCGCCGTCCTGACTTCCTGCGACCTGTCAGTGAAGGGGGCGAAATCGTAAACCGTGGGAGGAGATCCCAGCTGGCCAGTCTGGGCTCGTCCAACACGCAACCCTGCCAGGGCGCCCTGTAGCCCAAATAAACGCTGCTCGATAACAGGGATCCGGCCAGTGAGGTGCTGCACGACAGCGTTGGTCGCATCAAGCCGTTAAGCGATGACTCTTTCAGTATTCTGCCACACGCCGATCAGGGTCGACGAGTTGGCACTTGCTTCAGCACGAAGCGTAGCCGTAGTGTGGTGCATATTTGATCGAAGATGATTATGTTGGGACTGAACGTCGCCGAGGTCGCGTGCCTCGGACGGAGGCGGTCGATGTCGCAGCTGATCACGGGTCTCGTCTTGCAAGATCCTGACCGCAGAAACGCCTGTGTCGCGGACGACAGCAAGCTGCTGCTCCATCTGCACAAGGTAGTTGCGCAGGTGCTCGACCGTCGCGGACCGCTCACCTGAGTGTGACACTTCACGGTCGACCTGAAACTGCAGCTCTCCTAAGATACGACGATCTTCAGCGATCCTGGAATCTATGATCGCTAAGGCGCCGTCGAAGTCTTGACGAAGAGCGGCAGTGTGCGCGGCGTTCGTCTGAACGCTCTGCACTAGTCCAGAGTACTGCCTGGACACGAAGGTTTCAACCTGGTCTCGCAGCTCAGCGAAATCACCTGCAGCGGGCGCAGCCGCCGGCAGGTCGTCTGAGAGAAAAAGGTGAGGAGCGTCTGCTCCCTGATGCACCCTCTCGCGAGGAGTGCGTGGCCTCTGAAAGGCCGCACGCGGGCTCGACCTATTCTCATCGTAGGGGCCTGTGGCCTCACGACGGTTACGCATGGACGAGCTGCGGCTAGGGCCGTGTGCGTGTGAAGTGTCGGATGAGATGATGATACTTTGGGACGCTGCGTCGGCGGCTGTGCCGCCACTGGTCTGCCGAGATCCTCGAAAGCGGCCACGCGCGCCGACGCTGGCACGGCGGCAGGGCTGGCTGGGCCAGCACTGCTTTTCCAACGGCGGTTTGCGCGGAAGCGCCCAAGAGTATCGGGACCCGTGGGGCTCGCGCCCGACGCAGTAGGGATTGCCCCCGACGTAGGAAGAGGAGGCGGAGGATCGAAGGTAGGCGCGTGAACTCCTCCAAGGCCTGCTCCTACTCCTTTTCCTGTCCCCCCGTGGGCGGCGTGGCGGCGAAGTTCAGCCGCTAGACGCCGCCCGGGTCCGTCGGAGCTGGGGGGGGGTATCTGGGACACCCACACGGTCACCTCCAAGGCTCTCCATCTCATCACCGAGCCGTCGCGCCGTCGGAGAGCTCGGACGCTGAGCCGCGAAGGATCCCTTACGGCGCATGCGCCGCGGGGGATCCATCGGGGCTGCGAGCGAGATCGCGACGCAGGGTTCGGTGAATGGTGAGCTTTAAGGGCTGATAACCTGTGTATGGGGTTGGAGCGCAAAGGTACAGAACCCCTGAACCGTAGGTAGAAGAAGGAGGGAAAGATAGGGATCTTTTCCTCCTGTGCGATCAGCGTCCTGATCTAAGCCAATACCTGAGCCCCGAGGGCGAGCACACAGGCGAGTGAGGAGTAGAGGTGAGGGTATGAGACGGGTTCATTTCACATAATCACGATGAACCTCATCATCATCGTCACCATCACCATCACATTCACCATCATCAGCACAGTCATACGCATCCTCATCATCATCGCCACTGACAAAGTCAACATTATCAGCATCAGCAGCATCACCATCAGCAGTATCATCAGCATCCTCATGAACAGATGCATGATAATCATCATCATCACCACAACCACCATTCTCATCACCAGCATCAGCAACGACATCATCACCCCCCATCATCACCACCATCATCGTCGTCATCCTTGTTAGCATCATACGCATCATCAGCATCTGCATCACCATCACCATCACGACCATCATCAACATCAGCGTCAACATCGCCATCAACATCAAAATCAAAATCAGCATGACCATCATCATCATCATCAGCATCATCAGCAACATCAGCAGCAACACCATCATCATGTTGATACTCAGCATCATTATCAACATCATCACCTTCTTCAATATTTATCATCGTCGTTGTCGAACGACGACGACATCATCATCATCGTCATTGTCATCATCCGCCTGTTCCCTCATCCCCCTCCTGAGGGGGCGGAAAAGGAACGAAGAGAGATGGAGCACTGGGGGCCGGGCGGTCCTTGCGAGCGACGCGTACATTGTGGGCGGTCATGTCCAGGGAGCGGTTGCCCGGGTCCGCGATGCCGAGGAGGGGGGACGTGCAGGGAGGTTGAGAACGTAGAGGATCCAGGATCGAGTTCAGACGTCTTGGGTCAAATGTCAGCCTTCTGAGGCGCCCTCGTGGCCGTAGCTGGATTGCCCGAACAGATCGAGTTAGAGCGCAAGCGCCCAGAGGTCGATACTCACTTTCTGAACAAGCAACGGCTCGACGAAGTTGAGACGGAAAGCACGTCGCTGTTTGGGTCCTCAAAACGCTCGCAATGATAATATACCGCATGGGCCAATGTTTCAAATTTCGGGTCGCTGGAGACTGGTGAGAGGGAGAAAAGCCAGGAGGGAGTAGGATAATAGAGAAGGAGGCAGAGAGAGAGGAGGGGGTAGGGAGGGCGGGAGAAAGAGGGAGAGGAACACAGGGGGCGAGGGGAAGGAGGCGAGAGGAGAAGAAGGAAGGGAGAGGGATAGGGTAGAGGGGGGAAGAGGGGAGGAAGGAATCAGGAGGGAGGAGGGAAGGGGAAGCTGAGAGGAGGCGGGGGCGGAAGAAGGGAGGAGCGCGGGAGGAAGACGGGCGGAGGAGGAGGGAGGGGGGGGGAGGGAGGGGGGGACGACGACGACGGCGACGACTGGCAGGAGGAGCGGCGGTGGCAGCGGCGAGGCGGGCGCCGATGTTGAGGACGCCATCCACGTCGACGAAAACGATGGTGTCCACGCTGCGCCCGCCCAGCTCGGAGGATGGCGCCATGGCCCAGTCGGCCGGGGTGGGGGGGGGGCGGAATGGAGGAGGCGGCCTCGGGCGGGCACGAGGCCGTCGCGACGCGGGCGCGCTTCGCAGGGGGGGGGAGGGAGCGGAAGGGAGAGGGAGCGAGGACGACGACGGGGGGGGGCGGGGCTGGAGTCGCATCTTCGGGCCGGGGGGCGTCGTCTGTCCCGTCGAGAACATTCCGCGTCGAATACATGTCGAGAGCATTCCGTGTCGAGCCCACGTCGAATCCGCGCCGTATCCAAACCGACTCCACGACAAATCCGCGCCGACCACGCGTCGAATACACAAAACTACCGCAATTTACATGTCAAAGAAGACACCTATCGAATTAGGCAGGGTCGACTATGGCAAACACGACCGCCCTGGAATCTCCAAAAAATCGGACCGCGAATCCCCTGGAATCTCCATCTCCCAGCGAATATCGAACACATCTTCGCGCCTTTAGAACAATCCGATGAATGTGCAGAAAACTTTCGCGCTAGCGAATCTCCGCGCCTTACAATCTCACACGAAATCTCAGCCAGAGATTTGTGGAGAGTTGCTGGAAGCTCCACAGATTTCTGCACGACGGGAACGATCTCGAGATGTTCCAAAAATGTGCCAGAAATTGTCCGGAGATGTTTCTGAGATTTCTGCACGCTGCAGATTTGCCGGATATTTTTTCCGGAGATTTCTGCACGCCAGAGATTTTCCAGCGACTTCCCGGGAGATTTGGAAAGCTCGAAGATATTCTGGCAAACAAATTCTCTGGAATTTCTACAGCCCGGATGTTTCCCCGGGAATGCCAACACAATTCAGAGATTTCCAAGGCGAGTTTTCCCGGAGACTCTTCATCTGGAGGTCCTGGTCGAGTTTGCCATACTAAACCGAACCAACTATAGAGGTCTCCCAGGGATGCAACGTAACGGGTGGGAAAAAGGGAGGACGGACGAGGAGGGGCAGGGGGAGGGAGGGCGGCGGAGGAGAGGAGAACGGAAAGAGACGGGGTTGGGAAGGGGGGGAGAGGTGATCGGGAAGGGTGACAGGGGGAGGGAGGGGCGCGAAGGGCAGGGATGGACAGATGACTTGTCGACCCACTCATGCCCTGCGGCGACGCTCCAAGAGGCCAGCTCCAACAAGAGCGCCCTAAGACACCCTCAGCACTGTCCGAGAACGCCCCCAGAGACTGTCCAAGTAGGCTCCTAAACGTCCCAAAAAAACTTGAGTCGAGCCTGCGCAGGAAAGCTGTGGAACCATCGGGCCCGACACGGCAGCGAGACACCCGAGGGGCTTGCAACGGGCACCCAAGGAGCCCCCAGGAGGCCCCCGAGAGGGCGGAAGAGGCCCGAAGGGGCCCGAATAAGCCACTAAGGAAGCTTACGTTAAAGCTTCAACATGGGAAGAAAAAACGAAGCAGGAAGGAAGAGGAGAACGATGCTGCGGGCAAAGAGGGCGTTATCAAGACCCGCGCCATCTCATACAAGGCATTGATCCGGAGTGGCGAACAACACAGAGTCCGAACGCAAAGAGAAACTTGTCCCTCTGCTTGCCCCCACGTATGCGATGCTATAGATCCCAATCGCCGTTTATCCCGCATTCTGCTATCCTCAAACCCGTCCATTCCATCTTCACCCCTTTTTCCTCCTCATGCTGCTTCTCTTTCTTTCCCTCCCTCCGATCCACCATCCCCCCCGCCGTGCCTCCAAAACCCTCCTTCCCTCGCTTCCGAATGCGGTACACATCGCCACCAAGGTCTTGCGAGCGTCACCTGCAAATCGGCCCGACAGCCTGACACGGCTGTTCGCGTGTGGCATACTGAGTGAAGGGCTGAAAAGCCCCCGTCGAGTGACATTCAAAAAGTAATGGCAAGGAGAGACTGGACAGTAGGATGGTGGGAATATACGAGCGACCAACCCCTGAGCTCTAATGAGCGAAAATTGCTGCCCTGACAACGGGTGGACGTCACCTGCAAATCTAGTCGGCCCAGTTTGATCGGCTTGGCGAAACAGCAAGCCCGTGTGCGAGTGGAATACCGAGTGGCCCGCTGAAGACTCCCCGCTGCTGAACAATAAAATCGACTGGCATGGAGAGGTGTGGAAGGTAGGGTGGAGGGAAAGTACGAGCGATCAGCTCCTGAATTTTAATACATGAACATCGCTGAACCCATCTTGGGCCGTTTTAGGGCCCTCTTGGATCCCTTGGGGCGTCTTGCGTCCGTCTTGGGGCACTCGTGGACCGCCTTGAACCACGCTGTGGGCCCTCGCGTTGCCATATTGAGCCGCCGTGGGCCCCTCTTGGTCCAACGTGGGACCTTTCGTGGGCCCTCTTGGGACTCTCTTCGGCCGTTCAGGGGCGAGTCGTGGAGCCTCTTGGCCCGTCGTGGGCGCCAAGAGGAGCGGACAAACGAATATGCGAAAATCCGACGCACAACCAATGACACATCGCTGATTCGTGTTCCGAGAGCCAGGGGGCCGTTCAAATCGTCTGTAACCGCCCTGCAAACACTCGAGCAGCCCATCTGCTCTATTGGTGCGCTCTGGTCGCTCATTCGTGCACCCTGGAGTTGTTTCGACTGGCCCGGGGGAGGCCCTGGGGGCCCCGTGATTCACTTAAGCGGCCTCAGGCTTAGGGTCAGGGTTTGGAACTGCTGGAAACTTTGGGACCTTTTGGGGCTGGAAGGTTCGTCGCGCGCTTCGCGCGCGTTTAGGTTATGGGGCGTGTTTGCGTTGTCCTACAAACGTACGTGGACACATCTATACACCCATCCATTCCTACACCAATCCAGCAATGCACTCGCCGATGCGTACCATCATTTGGAATTGGTGAACACCTTCATCCAAATACCGTCATCCAAGCAGCCGATAAAACACAGATGGTCCACCAGTGAAGTAAGATGTATAGAAATCCACCGATCCTCCTCCCAAGCACTCGTGCACCACAATCGCCTGAGCGCCTGCGTCGCAAGGCCCGCGTGCACCACAGGGCCCATGTACACCACATGGCCCGGCCCATGTGCACCACATGGCCCGCACACGCCACAACAACCACGTGCATCGCAGAGCCGTTGCCGCATGTCCCGTTGTACCCGTGCGCATGCACCGCAGCGCCTGTGTAGCCCGCAAGCAGCGCCCGCGTCTACAGCAGTCACAGCGGCCACGTGCACTGGGGCGCACGCGTACACCATGCCATGCCACCACCGGGGGCCCGAAAGGGTCAAAAACAATATATCACTTGTGAGTGAGTGTTGTCCGTTGTGGCCCAAAGCGCGGATCCCTCCCGATTTGGGCCGACAACGCCTGCGTACACCACGCTTCTTCTGTGCACCCCCCCTGCCTGCGAACCCCAACGTTCGGGACCGCCGCAGCTGCCAGGGCATCATCTGCACCACAACGCCCGTGAACACCGCGAAGCCCAATGGCACGAGTAACGGAATCCGCGTGAATAATACCCGCGAGAGAAACAGGAGGAACAGCAGCAGGAGGCCAGGATGCCGCCAACGTGCACTCTGGCAAATCGAAGCGTGGAAAATGTTTGTTGCTATCAGGTGCCAGTTTCCTCCCCGACGTGTTGCACTTGCCGCTGCCAGCCCTTTCGTTTGTTGCGCGTGCGGCGCGAAAGCAACAATAGAATGACAGCACCGCGTCGCGCAAAAACAACTGTTGCCCGCGAGCGCAGCTGGGGTTTAAGAGGAGGGAAACATGGGGGAGGAGCGGGAACATCACCTTATTGTCACCACTGCAGGGATGGGCGCTCGCACCACAGCAAATGCATACACCGCGCAAGCAGCGTGCAACGCAGCCCCAAAATACACCGCGCCGCCTGCGTGCCCAACACCGCCTGCACACGCCTCCGATGGGCAGTGCGCGACAGCCGCGCGCGCACGGAAGGGCGGGGTTCGCCCCGCTGCCCCCCGGGCGATCGCTACCGTCACGGGGGAGGGCGGGGGGTGGAGCAGACCCCCGCGACAAGCGCTACCCAGATATCATGAGTCTTGATTGTTTCAAAACGTCCCCGGGGGATTGCCAAACATCAAATGCGAATGGACAAATCAAAACGTGTAAGAACAAAACACATGCGTTCGAGCGTTTTCAAATCTCAATGGGAAGGATTCAAACCAACGGAAAAACCCAAACCAAACGACCAGCCGAAACGCCGACAACGGGTTGATACGGGATCTGGGGCACGGCACACGCGCTGCACGCATGGCACAAATACAAGCTCGACTTACTACAGAAACGAAAAGCATGATAATCGAGGGTAGTTCACCGCGGGGACGGCCCTCAGGCGA